AAAATTGCACTCACCTTAGCCTTGTTTGCTTTGATTCAATCCTAACTCTTCGATTGTTCCTTAACTTGTTTAGGCTCAATTTCTACATAAGCATAATTTCCGAGACGATTATCAGAAGACTAAACCTTATAACTTGATGTTAATAACTCAGGCTAATTTAATAAACCAAATCTCAGCTTTTCCTTTAGGAGTTTATCGATGCACTATGGGTGCATCGGTACACAAATTAACTTCGAAATATTCATGCATCGATGCACCCCTTAATGCATCGATGCACCTACCCAGAAATCAATGTTCATTGCACGAAAATTCACTCTTTCAACTTCAATTCTTCAAGTTTCATTCCCTTTCATAATCTTAACTCAAATATATGTTTAACTCATTTATATCTATTTATTTCATCTTAACCTAAAATTCTATTCTCTATATAGAATCAATAATCATCCTAATGTTCCATGTTATCCAAACTTAATTCTTACACTTCTATCTTCTTATTCTCATAGATGACAAGTCAAATTTATCCTCCAAATTCATTTAAACATTCTTATTCAAAATTTCACTTAGAAACCCATTTTCTTTAATCTATCATAACTCCTTTATCTTTTGATTTTAAGATAACTTAAGCTTTCCTTAAGCTTAGTTATCATCTAAGGATCAAAACCCATGCTTAAAATCAACAAACAATCAAGAAATTAGAGAACTCACCTTTGCTTTGAGTTTTCACGTGGAGAAGAGAAGAAGATGAAGAAGAGAATTGCTTTGAAGCTTATCTCTTCAATCATTTTCCACATGGGTATTATAATACCCATTAATTATTATTTAATTATTTTCCTTGTTCAATTACTCATTTGCCCTTTGACTCATTTAATATTTACTAACAACTTTCAGGAAATATCTCCACATAAATCATTAAACTATTCAACTATTCTACTTTAATCACCATATTCTGAAATTTTTACAATTTAGTCATTAACCCGTAGTTTGGGATGTTACAAACAGTCTGTGTGATACTCATTAGAGAGCAGTAAAACGAATATTGAGATATCTCAGTGGGACACTTGAGTATGGGATGCTTTTCTCACAAACTGGAAATTTCAGTCTAGTCTGCTACACTGTTACAGACTGAGCAGCTTTGGTGGAAGATAGACGATCCACAACGGGTTACTGTGTATATCTTGGAGGTAATCCAATTGCATGGTGCTCTAAGAAGCAAAGCGTTGTCTCCAGGTCTACATCAGAAGTAGAGTATAGGAGTCTTGCTAATTTTGTTTCTGAACTGGTTTGGATTGAATAACTACTTGATGAAATAGGGATTAGTGTAACTGGAAAGCTAATTGTATGGTGTGATAACACCTCTACAATCTCTATGGCATTAATCCAACACATCATGCTCGTATAAAACATGTAGAAATTAAAATTCACTTTGTGAGAGAAAGAGTTCTGGTTGAACAACTCAGTGTTAATTTTGTTCATTCTGCATAGCAGGTGGCTAATATACTCACCAAACTGTTTACACCTGTAATATTTAGTGATATGCGCTCTCGTCTTGGTGTAAAGTCTTGGGCAGAAATCAATGGTACCATCCATGTGAAGCAGGTCTGAAGAAGCCAAGAAAATGTTGATTTGGCAATTCAGATTGGTAAAAAACCCAGAGAATATTAGTGTTATGTAATAGTTAATTTGTTATAACCGTTTCGGTTAATCTGTTGTAATTGAAGTCTATTCAGTTGGGTTGGTTAGTTGGGCTGATTGATTAGCCTTATGTGTTATATATAGTGGGCATGTCCACTAATCATGATCCATGAGAATATATGTATTTTCCAGAAACTCTGAATTCTATTGATTTTAGTAATAATTGTTTCTCCTATTCGTTCTTACTTCTCTCTTTCTCTACCAGACTTCCATAGCTAGATTACAACAACTACTTTTCTAGTTTTCTGTCAGTTATAAATCAGAGTAATAAAAAAAAGGTTGTACTAAAATGTTATACATGGTAAGAAAATGAATTATAAACTGTAAATGTTATGAATACTATTAATATTTTAAGTTGCGCCTAAAAGATTGTCAATTTTAAGTTGATGGAGCCTTAGACATTCTGACGATAAGAAAATAAGTTAATAACTAAAAATATTATGAATATATATAAGAAATACGATTTCGCTCAATAATATCATGGTTCACTAAGAAATATGTTACAATATGTAATGTTAACATTTTTATTAATAAAATAGGTTCCGCCCAAGAATGTCATGGTTCATTAAGAAAACATATTGCAATCTTGAATCTTAATATTTTTTATAATAAAATAGGTTACGTATAAAATATTATTAGAGTTTAAGCTAATGGAGCCTTGGATATTCCCACAATAAGGAAATAAGTTAAAAGTTGAAAATGTAATGAATATATATAATAAATACGATTGCACCCAATAATGTCCAGGTTCACTAAGAAATATGTTACAATATGTAATTTTAACATTTTTATTAATAAAATAAGTTGTATCCAAGAATGTTATGGTTCACAAAGAAAGCATGTTGCAATCTCGAATCTTAATGTTTTTAATAATAAAATGGGTTGTGCCCAAAATATTATTAGACTTTAAGCTGATGGAACCTTGAATTTAAGAAATACGGTTGCACCCAATAATGTCCCGGTTCACTAAGAAATAGGTTATCATTCGTAATGTTAATATTTTTATTAATAAAATAGGTTGTTCTCGAGAATATTATGGTTCATAAAGAAATTAGGTTGTGATCTATAATATAATATTAATATTTTTTTAATAAAATATGTTGCGCCCAAGAATGTCATAGTTTTGAATAGAAATATGTTGTGATATAGTATGTTAATTATTTTTTAATAAAATAAGTAGCAACAAAAAAACAGTTAAAAATTCTAAATATTGATACTTAACATATTATTATCGATACTTTTAAATATAGAAAAGGTTGAAGATGGGATCGAAAGATAAAATATCGATACTTATGAGATAATGATCGATACTTTTAAAAATTGAAAGAAAATAAGTTAAAAGTTAAAAATATTATGAAGAAAATAAGTTAAAAGTTAAAAATATTATGAATATATATAAGAGCATGGTTGGTCCAAAAAAATAAAAACAATCTAAATTTTAAATATTGATACTTATTATATTGTTATCGATACTTTATAAATATTGAAAAAGTTAAAGATAAGTTCGGAAGTTAAAATATCAATACTTATATGGTAAGAATTGATACTTTTAAAAATTGAAAAAGTTAAAAATATCAAATTTAAAAAATCGATACTTATGTGATAATTGATACTTTTAGATATTGAACTAGTTGATGAATATGATTGATAGTTAAAATATCAATATGTTATGAGGTTTGATATTTTTTTTATTTATATCAATACTTATGTTCTAGTATTTGTGGAAAGTTTGATACTTTGTGGAGAAGTATTGATATTTATAATGAGTGAACTGAGACAAACTATTTAAGAAACAATTCAAAATATAAATATCGATACTTAATCTATGTTGATCATACTTTGTACATAAATTTAATATATCGATACTTATGTTGGAAAAATTCTATAATTTTGGAGCTTTGAATGAGAAATTGATTCAAATGTTGTTGAGGAAAACGTGAAACTAATTGTTGGTTCGTAAAAATGAAAATGTGCACGATGTGGGTAATGTTAATGTTCGAACCGATTAGGCTCTTTGTGGGCTTGCGGATATTTTAACCCAAATATGAAATATTTTTCCTTAAATAGAACATATATTTTCAAAATTTTGTTTTGGAATTAAAATGATATATTAAAAGGTTCTTTAACTTTGGAAATTGATTGATTGTTTAATTCTCATTAATGTTTCATTGGGTCAAAATTTTTCAATTGTTCAAAATGTAAAATCCCTATAAATACCGTGTAAATATAGTAGGTTAAACACAATTAAAAAAATTCAAAAGAATCATTTTCTCTAGTTTTGGTGATAGATGAAGGCAAGAGAATATTCGTGATCTCTATAGAAGTGCGACTGTAGTTGATCATCTAGTTATTGTACTTGGGAGACAGATGACCAATGATCTCAAGTATCATATGAGTGGCCGAAAATATGTCTTAAGGAAACTGTGTAGTTGCAGTCCTCAACTCGTTTCCATTTGATTGTTGTGATTTCAATTGTGTATTTATTTTACACTACTTTCGATTATTTAATAGAATAAGTTTTCATGTTATTAATCTTTTAGTTTTATTCTTGTTTCATATACACAAATTTTACAACGAGATCCTACCATGGAATTAAATGTTATCGCGATTTGTGTGAATCAATTATTTAAATAAGATTTCCCTTTTGTTTTATCGTCCCAGATTGTTATACTTCTAACAATCTTAAGACATATTTTATCTTCTATCGCTCTAAAAAAATCCGAGATGATTCAAAAATCTCAGAAAATTGTGAAAAACAAATAAATTCGTTTTCAGGATTAATCCTGCAGTTTTAACGGGGTTGCTTAATTTCAAAGTGAAAAATTTTATTTAATAGAAATTGTGTAACACCCATAGCTCATATACATATCGTAATACGAACTAAAGATGTCACATCAATATATAAGATATTTGCTGAACATAAATGCTTAAAATTTTGTTTCGGCTTAAAACTCCCCTTTTTACCATTTTAAATCTGTTTCCTTTAACATGCATAATCATAACGAGATAATTTCTTGTTCCAAACAAAACTGATTTATGCAACAATTAGACAGTTCCATGTTATTTCATATTTACTTACAACTGCCTAATATTGCTTGATTTAAAACCATTTTAAGATCATTCACAATTCTCATTCATAAATATGATTATATCTAAAATTAATCATAATTAAACAGTCCTAAATTGCTATTACAGGCCCTTTTTAAAATAAATCTTATAAAATAACTGACGGATATAATATACATGTCACTGATAAGTCAAAATTATGATCTCTTACTAATACTGTTAGTAAGTTTGATTTTCATAAGATATGTTCTCACAGTTTCTATTGGAGGGCTAAAGGTAAGCAGTCAGTTATGGTTCATTTGCTTATTCTTCAACCTTTTTCTAGTTGCAGTACAGTTCTTTGTTTGTTCTCAACTTCTCATAAAAAGATTGGTTTATTTTATTTTATCTTATTTAGATACGCCAGTGGAAACATTGGGAAGATTCAATTGCTAAAAAGAATTATGATTCAGAGCAAGGTAATGACTAAGGGTTATGCAGTATACACTTCTGCTGCAATACTATTGTTTTTGTAGTTTAGAAATAGACTTAACTACGAAACAGATTTGGCGGAGTAACTTCTGGACACAAAGAAGAGTGTGTTAGTTCTTTTTCATTTTCATTTTTAATTTTTTTTCCTTGGTTCTTCTATCTTATTTACTGTGTTAGTGCAGTGTTGAAGAAAAAGTCACTCATGTCCATCAGCATACTTTATCAAAGAGCACTTTCTGGGTTTCGGTAAAGATTCAATTGTGCTAGGGTGGTTGGTAAGCTTCTATTTCATTATGTTACTATACCTTCGCTATTCACATCTACAACAGTTGAACTTGATGAAAAGGGGTTGGTTCCAATATTTCTTTTCTTTTTCACAAGCAACCTGCCCTGCTTGTCATATATAAGAATTGGCATGAAATATGAATGTAAAGAATTGTTTGTTGGTCTTAGGAGTTAGGAGGTTAAACACTAATTAAACATAAGGCGTTCTTTTCGTTTGCCATTATTGGTCATCCTTTATTAGTTATATTTGTATGCGCATATCCTTGCACTCATTTCTACCTCTTGTGGTTGATAAATTACGTTTGATCCTCTTATTATCTAGTTTAAATCGTGAACGGAAGGATTAATATTCTTTTTCACAAGAGTTTTTACTTGGAATCGTTCGAATGGGGAAATTACTGTAGTTGGATAAAAGTGATGGTGTGCCTCATAGGATGGGAATAAGAACAAAAGTCATAGTTAAACCGGGTTTGTTATGCTTAAGTAAATACCCTTCCCCATGATCTGTTACTTACCTTCACAGAATAAAGGATTTTGGTTCTTACAGGTATCTTGATTCCCTTGTCTCCTTTTTGATCATAATTTTGAACACTAAAAGACATCAATAAGAAGCAATATTAATTGAGCCTCCAACATTTCTTAGAAGCAGAAGTTTGTATGCTTGTGCTAACCATAACTTCAATCTTCTTTTTCTTACAGCATCATTTTTTAAGCAATTCTATGCATCCGTGACCAAATCAGATTACGTGAACGTGACACTAAGGCTAGGTTTCATAATGGTAAGTTTTCTGTGGAAGGGTCGAAGAACTTTCTTATGGTCGTAATATCATTCTGATAACCAATTACCAAATACTTATTATTTGTGTTGCAGATGCATTGCAGGGGAAATCCAAAGTTTAATTTTCACAAACACATGATACGAGCCTTAGAAGATGATTTTAAGCAAGTTGTTGGTATAAGGCAAGTGAATATGACATAGTTTGTAATCTGGTCCAAGGAATAGCAAGAGCGTGCTGGATTTTAACGTGTTCTTAAGGCATGTTCAGAGAAGTATTAATTAAGAACCTGATGGTTTAGCTAAGGCAGGTATCGGGTAATGTAGGGTGTTTTTTTGTTTTTGTTTGATGTGTAGGTTGTTTTTTGAGGGGAGAGGTGTGTTTTATGGGGAAGGTTGTAATCAAGGGGGTTTTTACCCAGGTTGTACTCTATGTTTCTATAATAAAATGTGGACACTCTTTTCCTCCTTCTAATGTCCATCAAGATACATGTGTAGCTTGAAGGTTATGAAGGGTTGAAGGTTAATGAAGGGTGTTTTAACGAGGCATTTTTCTTATCAAATATGACAGTTTGTAAATATTTATGTCTGGTGTTTCTTGCACATGGAAAATATGTATGTTCCCACTTCGAACCGTGCTACTTTGCTGTTTCATCTTGATTTTTGTTTTTTTTTTGTTGTTTGCAGTTGGTATCTCTGGTTTTCGTGGTCATCTTCTTGTTGCTGAATGTTAATGGTACGTAATAACATTGACCGTTGTTAGTATTATCGTGTTTTGATGTTTAATATAATATGAACCTTTTCATTTTCTTCTTTATGCTTCTATGGCATGTAATAGATGTTCGTGTCTAGATTACTTCCTAGGGATGGGCATGGAACCCAAACCTGACGGGTTCTGACCCTACTCGATTTGATCTGGTCGGATTTTTTTAAAAAGTTTGGGTTCGGGTCGAGTCGAGTCGGGTTTATATTAAATTTTCGGAGTCGGGTTGGGGGCTAAAATAATCCTACCCGACCCGACCCGCATAGTTAATGAATAATTATTTTTTATTTTTTTTACTTTCCTATTCCGGCAATTTTTGTTTCCGAGGGCGTGACTTCCAACAATTATTTTAGCTATTGGTTAACACCTTTTAATGTTTTTTCACGGCTTTTCCCCTCTTTTTTTCACGGCTATACCATAATGGCGTTTGAATAATAATAATAATAATAATAATATAATGACTGCTAATTATATACTATATAAGGATAAAAAAAAGAGACAAAAATAATAAAATTTATTCTTCAGTTTGGCTTCCTATAAACAAGTAAAGCGAGAAAGCTCAGAAAAACATTAATGGACAGTTTGGTTTTTCACGTCACGTGGGTTCCAACAATTATTTTAATTTTTTTATATTTTCAATAAAAAAAGGTGTGGGTTTTAATAAATAAAAAATTTAATCGGGTCGAGTTGGTGAAAACTAATTTCGTCGGGTCATCACGGGTCAAGGTCCCCTTCTTCTCGCCCATCCCTATTCCTAGCATTAATGTACTGTATAAATGATGACATTTCTCAATTTTATCCTGCAGGCTGGCATGCATATTCTGGATTGCTTTCCTTCCTTTCATTGTGCGTAGTTTCATATGGTTCCTTACACACACAAATGCATGCACAAATATAAACATGCATCTATGTACTCGAAATAGAATTAACCAATTCCGAATTGAAGAGATCATTGCATGGACTAATCAATTTTATCTGGATTTGGGGTAACGGATACTGGCATATATGCATTAAGGGTATGCTTAAATAGTCTAAATTTATTCCATATACATGGTGTTGGAAATATGGACTGCAAAACCACACCGTTAGCACTGACATGAAAGATAAACAGTAATTTAAAAGGAACAGATTCGTAAACCGTGTCATAGTAAAACCACTACCTTAGAAACGAATTCGCCCCGATGTGTGTAATCGCTGCAGTAGGCGAACCGTCCCCCGAGATTAACACGGTCGCTCCGAATTCCGTACACCCAAAACCGGAGTGAACTGCTGGTGGTATTGCACTTCTGATCAAAAAGCACACAGAGAAAATATTTAGAAAACACTTGGAGAGTGAATTCTGAATGTAGAGAGTGAGTTGAGAAGTTGAATCCAACTCTCTATTTATAAGCTAGAAATAGGATTAAAATCGTCCATAAAAAATCAGGATTAAAACTCTTCATTGTAACAGCTGAAACGTCCAGATGAACCTGTCTAAAAAATAGTTCAGGTTCATTGCATCATTATTCAGCTGTTAAGTTGAATCCAACTCTCTATTTATAAGCTAGAAATAGGATTAAAATCGTCCATAAAAAATCAGGATTAAAACTCTTCATTGTAACAGCTGAAACGTCCAGATGAACCTGTCTAAAAAATAGTTCAGGTTCATTGCATCATTATTCAGCTGTTATAACTCCTGAAATTAAATCATTGTAACTCCTGATATTAACAGCTTGTCCCCTTTGTACAAAGCTAGAAATCAGTCCAGATATATCTTAATGTTTTTGATTTAATTTAGGAAAAAACCTGTTTAATTACAGACAACTCATAAATCAACTGTTATCATTTGAATTTAAACAGTTCTCAGCAGCCTATAATATCAGGTGAAATCTTTCACATTTTTCATTTGTTTTTTCAAGAGAAATTCCTCAAGAATTTTATCTAAAAAGATAGTATCCGCGCGACGACCACGAGCCGAGCCGAGACAGACGACGGCGGTGCGCGAGAGTCTCCCTTGTTCTCTTTCACTCAACAAGAAAGTGGGAAATCCAAACCTTAAATACTCATTCCCAACTAGTGTTTCTAATATTATGTGAGATGAGCATTACCAACATTCCCCAATAATGCGAAATAATTCTCTGAAACTCGAAAACAACTTTCTAGTTAGAGCAATAGTGAGATTAGTTGCTTAAACACTAGTGAACGTATCTGGAACTAGTAATAGTGATGATGAGCAATCCTTCTTTTAGATAAGTGAAACGTCTGGAACTTTCTAAGATAGGGGTAAACTCATAACACAACTAATCCCTTCATCCACCCGAGTCCTCGAGGTGTAGATATATATATACAAAAGTATATATTGGCCATCTTACCTCAAGATTCTAGTAAGTGTACTAAAAATGGCCCAACATTTTTCATAGAAGACGGCTAACCCTTCTCACTTACATATGTTATTTCATCAAGTTATCTCGGCATAACCACCCTTAAAAAAGGGATATGAAATAATTAAGAGCTTTTACAAAAGCTCAACCTCACAAGGGTATAATGACTTTCTCAAGTCATTATTAATGAACTACCCAAACTCTGGGCTAAGAAGTCATTAAGAAATATTCAACCTCATTTATCAATTCAATAAGTCTTTCTCACTAGAACCATCCAAATATTGGATTTGAATTATTAAGAGTTTAACCAACTCAACCTTTCTGTCGGTAAGTCATTATTTCCTTCTCATCTAGGAATACCCACTCACTCTGGGTTATGAACTTATTAGAATAGATATTCAACCAAATCGGTAAATTCATCAAGTCTTTCTCACTAAGACCACCCAAAGCCTGAGCTATGAATTTATTAAGAGCAATTAAGCTCATCCTGGGCATGCACATTATTCATCATAGGGATAGGCAATAGGAATGTGCACTATAAGTCTTTCCATGGTTTCGTTTGACCACATGGAACTTAGATAACTAAGTTGGGTATCCACCATGAATTCCTCAACCAAGGGCTTTAGACCCATCCCCTCGATGAATCTAGGACCAGCTTCCGACGAACCCTTTGGTAAGTGGATCTGCTAGGTTCCTTTTCCAACTTCACATACTCTAAAGAGAGCACTTCATTCTTTATTAAGTGTCTAACTGATTCATGTCTTATGCGAATGTGTTTTTTCTTACCATTGTAAGCTTGGTTCTGAGCCACACATATCGCAGTTGTGAATCACACAACAATGAAACTGGAGGATTCGGTCTTCCCCACAACGAAATATCTGCTAACAAGCTTCTAAGCCACTCGGCTTCTTACCCAGCTAGGTCAAGAGCTATAAACTCTACTCCCATGGTAGAACGAGCAATAAGTATGCTTGATGATTTCCACGAGATTGTTGCTCTACCTAAAGTAAAACATACTCGCTCGTAGAGCTTACATTATCATTATCAGAAACCCAGTTGGCATCACAATATCATTCCAGTACTGCAGGAAAGAAAGCCAAACTCAAGATTCCAATCCAAAGTACCCTTATCATCAGTAAGCTTTAAGAGCAATCCAGTGCTCACCACTCGGATTATGAGTATTCTACTCAGTCTACTCACAACATAAGCAATATCAGATCGAGTATAGTTCTTAAGAATTAAGATTCTGATTTAGCATATCAGTTGGGAAACGCTACTTCCTTTATTCTTAACTAGATGTATGCTAGGGTCATAAGGAGTTGAACAGTGAAGACATTAAAACTGTCAAATTTCTTTAGCACTTTCTCTATAATGTGCTTGACTTAAAGAAAATCCCTTTTCAGTTTGATAACTTTGACCTAAGATTACATCAACTTCTCCCAAATCTGTCATCTCAACCTTTGTGGTCAAGAAAATCTTAACTTTGTTAATGGAATCAATGTTAGAACTGAAAATCAGCATGTCATCAATACAGGCTTATGATACACATTCAGTGCCAAACATCTTCGAATACACAAGCATCCGAACCATTCACATAAAACCAAAACTAAGAATAGTTTTATGGAATTTTCATACACTATTTAAGAGCCTGCTGAAGTCCATAAAGTGACTTTTTAAGTCTACAGACTTTTCCTTCCATACCAGGTGCTTCAAAACCTAGTGGATTCTCCATATAAATCCTCATCTAGCTCCCCATTCAAGAAAGCATCTTAACATCCATTTGATGCACCTGCAACTTATGAATAGAGGCTAGCGCAAATAATGCACGAATCGTTGAGATTTTCGTAACAGGAGAATATGTATCAAAGTAGTCTAAACCAAACCTTTTAGTGAACCCTTTGACGACTAACCTTGCCTTGTACCGCTAAATCGAACCATCTAGCCTCAGTTTCTTCCGGAAGACCCATTTGTTGCAGATTGGTTGAATC